GTAAATGAAAGGTTATTCCATATCAAATCCAGTTAAAACTGAAAACTGATAAAACAGTACAAATTTAAAGACAGACAATGAAACATTTCACTTTAAATCATAATCAAAACCACCTTTCATTTTCTTGATTATGATGAATATGAATATCCTGCTTATCCTATAGATATAGCTAAATATAGTGACAGACAGATGTTAAAGCTCAGTTGGAAATGAAATTGTAAACCTTTGACTGAGTCGCATTCACCAATTCGCTTGGCAGATGTTTTTGAATGTGTTGTGCCCCAAAGACGACCTTTGTATAATTAATTGAGTGTTTCTAACTGGACTCGTCGGCGCTGGGGGTCAAACTCTAACGACAGACAACGTCCGTCTCAGTCTCTCTCCCTCCCTCTCTTTCTCTCACTGTCTGTCCACCAGTCTCGCAGTCTGTCCAGCTGTCCGTCTCTCAGCACGTTTCATTGATGAATTTTGACAGTTTCTTAAATTTTGGGTTAATGATTGGAGCGGCCAAAAGGCAAAAGAAGAACAAATACATATATCTCAATATATATTTATGTATGTATGTACGCAGTGAATACATTGATCTTAAAGCGCTTTGGTTCCCGCAAATTCATTAGCGAAAATGCAATTAAGTAAGTTTTTGTTTTATTCTTTACACCCTTTTACGTAGAGGAAATCGTTTTCGTTGATGTTGGCAAACATGTTTGTTAACTTGAATATTTTTTGGACTTATCAAAATGGTTTGGATTGCATGTCTTCTAATGATAACATAACTAAGATAGAGATATATATGTATGTACTATATATGTATTCAAACACAAAGTCTTTGGATATCGCATGACGCATTTAGCATTCCTTTGGATTCCTTGGAAAACGTGCCCATATCTAACAACTGGCAATTAAACCTGCCTAACATACACACACACATATACCCTCGTGTTTAATACCGTTACGCGCCTAGGTGAGGCCCACTGTGCTTGGAGCGCATGCCCCTTGTTTTGAAGAAAAAGGCTTTGGGGCAACTTCGCAGTGTTCCGAATTGCAGGCCTTGGCGCATGTTAGACACAAGTCTGATTCTGCGGGCTTGGGCACTGCCACGCCCCCAGACGCCAATTATGTTTGGCGGGGCAAGGCGAAGGATGTGCCGCGAGCACAGGATATGCTTAAAACGGCGGCGCGGCAGGCAGCAGAAAAAGAAGAAAAAAAACTTTAGTTTGAAAAAATTAACTCAAACTACAAAAACGAAAAAAAAAAAAACGAAAGTTTGCTTAACATTTGACTTTGTTGTTGATATCGAATTAATATCAAATACCAGGCGTTGGCCAAGACGGGCTGGGCGACAACTGCCCGGCGGCCTTAACGGAAATGGAAATGATGCGCGAGGCAGAGGCAGAGACAGAGACAGAAACAGAGGTAGAGGCATGGGCAGGGGCATCACTCTCGGCACACAGAGTGGAGCAATTAGGCAGCGCCCCATTGGACGTGGCATTAAATTGTGAGCTGAAAGTGGCAGATACATCAAAAGTGAACGCAATCCATCATCTTGCGAATCACGGCGTGATGAGTGCCGCCAACAGTTCAAGCCAAGCCGCTGACGCAGTCGCCGCAACAGCTCCAGCTTCAGCCGCAGCTCCAGCTTCAGCCGCAGCTCCAGCTCTATGTCCAGCCTCAGCTCTTTCTTTTTCACGTCGGCATCCTTTCGACTTACTTTTTTTTTTGGGATTTTATGTTGATGATCCCTAAGACTGACGCGTTCGCCGCACGAGCTAAAAATCATAAAAATTTGCTGTGTATTTACTGTTTGCCCCTCTTAAATACCGTTAGGCGAGCGCACCTTTAACAGATTTCAAACTACAAGATACGAAAACTAGAGTTGCGCGCCTTTTTTATAAATGGTCAAGGTCACAATTAATTGCAGGTCTGGCGATGGCGACTTCCTATATAACCAGCTTGACTTAAAACTAATGCCGCCTGATCTACTTTCGGCCTGAGCGGGGCAATTAAAACAATTACCTTTTACCCCACTGCAACGCGAGTTTGTGACGGTTGGCTTTGTATTTGTGTGTGTTAACTATTTGCTGTAGCTGTATCTTAGCTGGTCGTTGTATCTGTAGATGTAGATATGTCTGTGTAATTTTAGAAGTGGATGAAACTGTCGTGTGTATCTGTGCTGCTGAACAGCTTTAAAAGTAGTTAAATCTGTATATGTATATGTATATGTATATGTATCTGTATCTGTATCTGTATCTGTATCTGTATCTGTATCTGTATCTGTATCTGTATCTGTATGTGTATCTGTATCTGTATCTGTATCTGTATCTGTATCTGTATCTGTATCTGTATCTGTATCTGTATCTGTATCTGTATCTGTATCTGTATCTGTATCTGTATCTGTATCTGCATCTGTATCTGTATCTTTATCTGTATCTGTATCTGTATCTGTATCTGTATCTGTATCTGTATCTGTATCTGTATCTGCATCTGTATCTGTATCTGTATCTGTATCTGTATCTGTATCTGTATCTGTATCTGTATCTGTATCTGTATCTGTATCTGTATCTGTATCTGTATCTGTATCTGTATCTGTATCTGTATCTGTTTCTGTATCTGTATCTGTATCTGTATATGTACCTAGGCTGCGTATCTGTATCTGTATATCTTTTGGTTGGTGATTGTAGGGCTTTTCCCTGGAATCGCTTGAATCTTAGCCATATCACGCCCATTAGCGACAATCAATCTCGGCCACGATGCAACAACCACAACAACAACAATTCAGTGATAAAGTTTTAGTTTTCTTTCCTTTTTTTGTATTCTTACCGCCTTTTTTGCTGTTTGGCTTTTTATTTACGAATGCGACTGCCAGATAACCCATAATTATGAAATTATTATTGAGCGCCAAGTTTGACTTCAAAGCCGAGCCATAAAAATGTATATGAAATATACAGCGAAAAATTATTATAGATATGTCTATACGAGATATGTCTATATATATGTATATGTATATATATGACGTCTTGCCTTGCCGTCGGAAAAGCAACATTTTATTTTTGTCTCTTTATTTCATTTCGTTTTCAGTTTCGTTTGCGTTTTGTGTACGCAACAGGAAACGCTGGCGGCGCAGGAAGTTGCATAAAATAACAAAATATATTTGTAAGAGAAGATGAATCTTTAATATTTATATACAAGTGACAAGTTTATTTAAGCTAAACTTCATTAAAAATATATATTTGCATAAAATGAAATATATATACCAAATTTGTTTGCTTGATGTATGCAAAAAATTAAATAATCATACCATTTAAAACAGAGTTTATACAGAGTTAAGTTAACGTCAGTTCAAGCAGGTTGTTTACCCCTGCAACTGTTTAATATTAAAGACCAAAGCATAAATACAAATGAATTTATGCAAGAAGCCCGCTAGGCAAATGCACAAAAAAAACAAACAAACTGTCGAAAAGCTAACGAAGGCGTTCTAGGAATTTCTTGAAGGCAATGCCACGATGCACAGGATGCGGCTTGTTATGTGTTTTTCGGGGCTGCTTTTGAATATTTATGCGAAATGCAAAACAGAGGGTTGCAGGTCCTTCAACGTTGCAAGTTGCACGTTGCACATGCTGAATGCCGTTATGAGTTATTATGCACGCCTGCCAAGAAGTCAATCACCTGGTCCAAGTCCTGGCAGTTGCCAAATCAAATGCCCATATATAGCTATATACATATCTGGGCTCTGTCACTGGCTTGGTCGCTGTAGCGAGGACAACCTGTAATTTTCAAATCTGGCGCAACAAATGCAAAACTTTTGCAAATGTATCTGTATGGATTGCATATGGAGCCGCAGAAATGGCGCACCAAACGAAAGATACTTTGAATGCGAGCAGCAGCAAGAGCAATTGGTGGAAACGAGATGGATAGAGAGATCGAGCGAGAGAAGGATGTTCAACGGAACGCATGTTCTTTGAAAATTGCCCATAATTATGCGAACGAACTTCAAACTGATTGTTTCTACCGGCAAGCAGCAACAGCAACAGCGGCGGCGGCGGTGGCGGCGGCGTCGGCCATGGCCATGGCTGTCCAAAAACCGCGTCTGTGTGTTGCATGCAACATAGCCGAGTGGTCCATCTCAGCAGCAGACTCAACCCCAGCCGGGCTTTAAGATCGGGAATCGCTGCCCGTTTGCTGCAGTGAAAGAGAATGACTGTAATTACGCATCACTTTTTCTTAATTTTCATGCTGTGCATCTTCCTCGTCTGTTGCTGGTGGTGATGCTGCTCGTACTGCTGGTGGTGGTGGTGGTGGGGTCCACCATTTTGGCTTGGGAAGCTGTAGAGGATTTGGACACTGAACTTGACCCACAAGACAAGACAAGTATGTTGTTAGCTGGGCTTGGATGCTGTGCTGGTATTTGTATGTGTGTGTGTGTTTTCGGTGAGAAATAAAAAATACGTCCCAGAGTCTTAGAAAATTACTTGTTGCGTGTTGCGTTTCCAAAAACATTTTGCGTGTCTTTTTGTTGTTTGTTGATTTCGTCTTTTTGTTCACTTCCTTCAAATCTAATTTAAAAGATACAAAATTTTAAATTATGGGGTTTTCTTTATTGCCAAAAATGTTTTCGTGTTTTTTTTATGATTGCGTCTACGTGCTATGAAAAGGTTCAAATTACGCGCCAGCAATTCGGATGCAGATGCCAGACGGGTGATACGCATATGTCGGAAGTGCTGAATGTCAAAGTCTTTTGGGTCAAGACTAACAAACACAACTGCAATAAAATAGTCGATTTTAAAATACCTATTTAAAGACTCAAATTAAACGTGTGAATTGATAAAGATAAAAATAAATTTTATTTAAATGCACTTAACAAATGTCTAAAGATTTTTATGAAATTTTCCCACTCGTATTTTGAATTATAACGTAAAACTCGATTTGCTGTTCAAGTGTTGAGCAACAACCATATTTGCAATGTTTTACACACTAGCAATTTAAGAGGTTATCGACTGCCGCCACAGTTCGCGATAGATTTGCAGCACTGCAAGAACTTTTGTTATTGTTTTGGTTTAGTTATTAAATGAATTATTACGATGGAAACAGATGCAAATATTGCGGATATGACAGATGTTTCGTTTGCGGACTTCGAAACGAAAACCAGCGATGACAATGCTAATTACAATAGCTATGGCCAATGCCAGTCTAAGCATGACATGTCTATGACACTTGACTTGTCGCTGGGCCAAAAGCCTGAGCAGCTCTTCGCAACAGATCAAACGCCAACACCAACACGTTTGATCAAAAACTGTGAGGAGGTGGGCTTGTTTGATGATCTGCAGCATGTGAACCCATTTGACATAGGATTCCAGCGGGCCGCCGAACAAAATGCAGTGGCAGGCAACGCGCCGGAGACACCGAAACGTACCGAAGCGCCAGCAACGGACGGCGATTCGCTGCACACGCCGCAGGTTTATCCTCTGGAGACACCAGCAATCAGTGCTGCAAATCAAACAATTAGCCAGAATAGCAGTCCACTGGACGTGCCAGTTACCCATGTGGAGGACCTACTGGCAACGCCTGCAATAGTACCTGAACCACCTGCAGCTCAAGGTCCGCCACCATTGCAACTAATACAACCACCTGTGATCACGTGGGTGCTGCCAGCGCAAACGCTACCCATTACTACGATACCTGCCACCATAAGCAAACCAGTGCCTTCTAAGCAAACAGTGCGACCCTTTATCTTGCCCAAGCCCAGCATAGCTGGCCAAACCAAAGCCCCAACTGGGCCTACAACACAGAATACAGTGCCAGTCAATGAGCCGAGCAGTGCTAGTCTAACGCCCACGTCACAGCTGCCCATCAAGGAACGCCTAAAGGCCATACTCAGCAACAGCCACAACAGTAATCGGAAGCAACGCAGCTTTTCATCACCCCCCAAGGCGAAGGCAGCGATCAAACGCAACGAGGATTGCATGGAACGACGTCGAGCAGCTGCCTCACGCTATCGCGACAAGATGCGCAATGCGCATAGAGATCTAAAGGAGCACAATGCCCAGCTGCAGCAACAGATAAGCAAACTCAACGAACGCGTTGCAGCTTTAGAGCGCGAATTACAACAACAATGCAACAATAATGCGAGTGGTAAGCGAATCCTTATATGCGACAAGCGCAATTTGATATCTAAAGAGAATTTATATCCCTTTCTCCTCCACTAGCTAGTGGCAATCATCTGCAAATACCGCCATCTAGCATACACCTGGTCATCAATGTGCCCAAGATGTTAGTGCCTGGTCAGCGACTGGATCAGACGTAGGCTTGGATATAGATAGGTTCATGTAGATACCGAGTGGCTCAGAAGTAGAATTAAAACCTTGTACATAAAATAATATGCATAGGTTAATATATGTACATACATATATAGCTGAACAGTGACAATAGACTAGGGAATGATTTCAAATAACAAATTGAAAAGAGAGTTGTTTGTACATTTATAAAACTTACTTTAAGTTAACTCTTTGAAAATCTATTCTATCATCTGACATGCTTGTCCTTTAAATTAACTTAAGGGAACAGATTGTAAAAGCAAAGTTTTGTGTATATATATTATATTTATTTAAAATTGTATTGTATATATAAAAGTTAATAATTAAGCTCCACAGGTTTCCAGTGCTGTTCAATGCGCTTCCTCTATAAGCACAACAAATTTTATAATCTATAACTTGATTTACATGTATATTAGAATACAATTTGGTTGCGTATAAATTTATTAAAGCGTCTTAAGGCTTGAGGACCGTATATCTAAAAAAAATTATTTACTAAAACATTGTCTATATATAATTATAAAAATCTATTACACATAGAAATGTTACAGCCAATCTATTTGTATATAATAAATATGTTATATATTATGAAACATTATAGGCATAAAAATACTGTGTTAGTTTTTATTTGTTAATAATGCACAATTTTGATGTTAATTAATTAAATGATGTTAGCTAATAAGTCTTTGCTACGTAATTTCGTAATTAATATTTGTACAGATTTGTTAAAATATTCTAACTAAATAAGTTTTAGCTTTTGTAGCTCAGTTCTTTTCAATATATATTGCCCCGATTATTGACTGTTGCTCTCGCTATTTAAAATATCTGTCAGTTCTTGTTGTATCTCATGAATGGAGTACTCTATAGCTTTGAGTTTCGACGGAGTTGATGCTTGTTCCGTGGAACTTTGCACTTGCTCCATGGTCATCTGTTGGCGATCAATATAGGTTTATATAGTATGCGTACTTATAAATAATTCAATCATTATCACTCACCTCTCTCAGTTGTTTCTTAAGCTTATCACTTTCGTTGCGCATTTTTTCTACCTCTTCGTAGTATTTGACGGTCAGAGGTGAATCGAGCAGGCAGCTGGAATAGCGCTGTGCCATTAGCTCCATCTCCTGGTTGCGTATTTCATCCTCGGCGAAGAGCATCTCTTGATTTTGACGGCGTCGCTCGCGCTCCACACTGCGCATCAGTCCATCAATGTCCTTTTCCATTTCCAAGATCTTGCGACGCTGCTCCGTCTCCTGCAGCTTAGACAGCACCTCACATTTGCGCTGTCGTGCCTCCATTTGATAGGTCAGCAACATTTTGCGATGACAGGCAATGCGCTCCTCCTCGCGATGAATGGTGTCCTGGTAGAGCTGTTCCATTTCCTTGATGCGACGAGCATGCTCCTCCTGCTTGAGACCCTCCTGCAGACGTTCCTTCATTTGAATCTCCTCCAATTCCAATTTGCGTAAGCGCGCGTCAATCTCCTGCTGCTGTTTAATCAGCTCATCACTAAGTTGCTCCTGTTGCTCAATCCACTCCCTGGGATATTTTAAAAACTTGGGATAGACGCCCTTGGGTATGGGCTTAAAGGGAGGCATGAAACGCTCTGGATGCACCTCGGTAACACAATTGCTCATAAGCTTACGGGCGCGGTTCAACCATTTCGTGACATCGATCGGCATCTGCTCGTGGAAGAAGTCAACCACCTCCGACTTTTCAGGCAGACGCATAATTATCTCCCGTTGCATCATATTATAAGCAACAATTACGAATACAATAAAGTATGGAGGATTTGTTACAATATTGTCCCACAACACCAACCACTGCTGCTCGTCCAGAACCTCGGCAAAGCCATTGGTAAGCAACGACCAGGCATAATCCTTTGGCTGTACGTCCATTGCAGCATAGAACTTGGACAGCTGCTTATCGTGCACCTGTAACACGTTTTCGCACAAGCCCAGATAATTGCCTGGCGGCATTGGATGGAATTCAAAGCATAATTCCATATGGTTGAGCAATAGTGTCACAAGCAGCTCAAATACCACCAAACTATTCTTGGTCATCTGCTTAACAAACGGATAGATAAGATCCGGCATGAAGTCCGTGTGGCCAAACACCTTGCACCAATGAGCCAAGCAACTCCACACTTTGATAACGGCTCGTCTCTGAGCATCGCTCTTCACCTTTATCTTAGCAGCACGTTGCTTGACCACTTGAGGCTGTCCGTGTTTAAGCAGCGCTTGGAACTGGGCAGTGTTAGAGGGTAGCTCCAGCAGCACACTCCATATAATGAATCTATATTTCTCCGGATAAAACCCATACTCAGCGAGCATAGCTTCCAAGCGCTCACGTTTCAGTAGCTTTCGTAGCTCCAGATTCAGTGGGCCACTGATAAGACCAGGCAGCTTGGCCGCCGGTTGCTTCAGTGCGGCTCGCACCTTCGAGATGCATTTCGTCTGTGCATGTAGTGAATTATACAGTCGGCAAGTGGACCATACATTCACCTCACCACTTTTAGACAATAAGCTAAGCAGCTTACCATCACGACTAACATTTAGGCTCAAAGCATTCGAACGTTGCACGATTAATTTGTATTCCGTCTGCAACAGATCCAGCATGACAGCCATGCCGGTAGCTGTGATGGCAAACAGAATGCGATTCTTGGGTTGTGCCAGCAGCACGAATTGCTTCAAAATGAAGTCGCGGAGTTTGAACAGCTTTTCCAAGTCCAGGGATGCTGTGTTGAGCATCATCAAATATCCATCCACTGTGCTCAGCAAGAGTTTATTACCATTTGGAGAGAAACTATAGGCAAGTAGTTTGCCATCGGAAAAATGCTGCTCATCGTACTTAAATGCCAGCTCATCGTTCAAGTTGTCCTCCTCCTCATCATATTCAGCACGCAAAACAATCTCTGGTATCTTTGACGTGTCACCTCGCATCAAACGTATCGTGCGATCGCGTGCTTTGATGGGTTGCGATATGTACACCGTTCCCAGATTAGAGCTGGACCAGAGATGCACCGAATCATTGGTGAAGCATGTGAAAAACTTATCCGATTTGGGTAGAAAACTGGCAAACTTCAATGTATATTTGGAGTGATCAAACTCAAGTCTATGCGACAATTGCAACGTGGTAAAGTTCAATAGGACAGCCGTAGCTCCTAAGCGTATTAAGGTGTTGCATGCAGTGTTACTGTCAAGTCGATTTCCAAAGGAAACTTCATTAATAGCTGCGTCGCCCACTTTAGTGTGCAGCATAGGTGTCTTTTCTATATTAAAGATAAAGACACAGCCCGATTCAGTACCCACAATGTATTCACTATGCACCAGCGGTGAGGCCACCAAAAGAGTTGCCTCTGGCACTTTGAAACCCAGACGCCAATAGCGTTTGCACACAAAGTCAAAGATATAGATGTTGCCACTGTGTATGGGATAAACTGTAAGATCTAGATTTATCTACAGAAATAATCAGTGAGTCTCACCGCCTGTCAATGACAACCAGTTTGTTGCTCATCTCATTAAAGCAGTAAGCAGCAATGCGAATCCTTACATCTTTGTCCACTGATTTGATTGTATTGTGCACAGTGAGTATGTTTCTAAATGAAGGAAACATTGAATATATCATACAAATAACCAGAATTTTTATTTAAGGTATACCCTTCCTCGTTTTGCTTCAGCTTAAATGGATATTTGTGCATGGGAACATCGCTCAAGCCTGCTGTGCTTCTGTGTAGCTCATTTATCCCTTCTTTGCTTGGTTGTGTCTCAGTGGCGAGCTCCTTTTCAAACTCGCTATAGGCGCTGTCCAAGGTAGTTTCGCTCGCCATATCAATTTCCCAGTCTGAATCGCCATGCGTATCGTATTCATCTTCTGACCCCTCATTTTGAACATTTTCTTTGGATTGGGAAACAGCCGGTCGAAAATAGTCTCCGTGAATCGAAATACTTTTTGCTGGAATTTCCATAGCTACCAAACTTTCAAAAAAACAATTGACACTGTTTGGTTCACGAGCGAACTGGCACACCTGAGCCTATCGATATTCGATACATGGATTTTGCATCAAACAGTTCAAAAATTATGTGGAACAAGTTCCATTTGGATTTAAATGAATTCTGTCAGTAAATATTTGTGAGCTCTTTAAATCATATATATTGTTGCATATCAAAATATTCAGCTGAAATAAAATTATTCACTTTGCAGTATACATATGAATGTGAGCTCTGTTCCACTTTCCAACAAATCGACTGTATATCATTTATAATTCCACTAAAAACACCATTTGTGCACGGTTTATAACTATTATGTATATTATTTCAATTAAATATTTGTTTTGTGAATATATTTATTACTGTGAGATTGACTGTCGTCTTGGATGAAACTAGCTGCATTCAAATTGCTACATCCAATAATCGTAGACGGGCGCTTAAAATTAAACTCGATTTCAATTTAAAACATGCCTCCATATGGCGCATCGAAGCCATCGGAGCCATCACGCATGGCATAACCAAACATGGTTGAATAGTTTATAACGTTTCCTATTAGCGTCAGCGTGCACGCAGTCCAACTTATCTGGAGGATTAAGCAAAGATAAAGCTGTTATAGATATATTATAAATTGTATTTCTTTTTTTGGAACTTACGACAGCCGAATGTGCCAAGACGATGGGCAAAGCAAAGGCGCTCAGCACCATACCAGCAGTAAGGAAAAGGGCGAATTCTGATTTCGGATTTGTTTCGTTGCTTGGGGTAGTCCGTTTCGATATGAAAACGGGCAACACAGACAAAACATAAAACAGCAGTACAAAGAATGGGTAAAATATCTTTGGAGTGGGCAGCGCACAGGCCAAGATTAGGAATGTCATCCCCAGGACCGTTAAAAATGCGCATATAATCAAACTGGAACAAAAAGTGCAGGTGTTATCAAATGCTGGAAAAACGCACACACATAGATGTGCATATATATACATATATATTGTGTTGCGACTTACACTGTAGGTGTTGGTATTTTCGTTGTTGTTGGTGCGATGACAAGTGAACGGCAGTAAATATATTGAGTGGTATTAGGTAAACCATGTAAAAAGATAATAAATAGTTAGTCAATATCGTTGGGAACGTTATAGCTCCATTAATACCTTTCTCAGATCCCATTTTATTTGTTTATGATTTTTCTTTGTGGCTAGACTAAGAATATGATTCACGAATAACAATGATTAAGTATCGATAACATGTGTATATCAAAAGCAGTATTTTTAAGATGTAGTATTATTTAGTACATTTTTGGTAGTAAAACGCGTTTTAAGAACAGAGTTTTTAAGCGGGGTATTCTGTATTTTAAATGCAATCAAAATGAACAGGAAAAAAACAACAAATTTATATAGTTATAAATGTCTAATTGACAGTTAAAACAATTAAATCTATTTGGAGTTAAATAGCCAGTGGAATAGGCGAGAATATTGAGCAGTTACATTTATCGAGATCGTAGAATTGAAATTGTTTTAATAACAAAATATAGAGATCGATATATGTAGTTATCGTAGACTAAAATTCAAATAATGAGGCAAGTAAGAATTTTTTTTATTTTATTTTGCATGGGATACACTAATTCATAATTGATATGCTCAAATAACTCTTTACCTGGGCTTTCTATATTAAGTGCAAAATCAAAGATGCGCAGCATTTATACGTTCCTGTGAATAGAAAGCTTTCGGGTTGAAAATTCATTGATAAAAATAAATTGCCCTATCCCAAACGAACAATTGTGGGGTTGCAAAAGTACATGTCAAACATCAAGTGTGTATAAGGATGTATGTATGCGTGTTTGTGTGTGTGTGTGTACATGACTACGTAGCGGCCACCTGCTAGCTGTTCAAGGAGTCGAGTCTGGCTTCGGCTTTTTCATGAATGCATGAATGTTTATTCAAAGAATCCCTGCACGCACATACGCACACAAACACACTTTCCTGTTCGGACGTGTCGAGCTTTTTTTGTGTACCATTAGAGCGCATGCGCCGGGCTGCCTTCAGTGCTCTTTGTTGTTGGACTCGGCCACAAAAGCTGCCCGCAACATTTAACAGCGCGGGGGCGGACATAACATTTGCGTCACAGCTACCAATTGCTGGTTTTGCTTGCTTTCGGGCTCATTCAGTATAACGGTATACGTCGGCGATTGAAGAACGCAAACAGCTTCGAACGAGAAAAGTCAAATACTCTTAATTGGCAGCAGCCACACAAGTTTCCATAACTGAATTTCACTGCAATCACAAATCTGAAAGAAAAGTGCAACATTTGACATTTGTGGCAGCCGGTGCAGGTGTAGTTGGCATTCAAATATCCGAGCGCAAAGTGCCGAGAGTTCAATTCCAGTTGAGGAAATTTCAAAGAAGATAGAAAATATTGCACGCCCACGCGAATTCTGTGACCAGCAGCTGCCTGCTAATTGTATGCCTGTGTGTGTACGTGTGTGTGTCCGTGTGTATTGGTGTGAAAATCAATAAACTCTAAAGGCTGAAAGGGCAACAGCAGCTATGCACGGCTCGCATTAACACCGGCCATATGGTAACCAGTTGCCAAGTGTCTATACCGAAGTGTTAATTGAAAAAACGAAGAAAAACAATTAAATTGCTTAAAAACCATTAAAACGGCAATAAACAGTTAAGCGAACGAGAGTGAAACGTACTACAATATGGCGAAGCGGATGGATATAAGCTGCGCACTGATTGCAATACTCATGTGCAGCATATTGGGTCACTGCGAGATGTCCGTTTACCCAGGTACATATGCCTAAAAATAGCACAAACCAACACACACATACATATTTACCGCCAGTTAGAGCTACGACTGTGTGTGTGCATGTCATTTAAACTTTTGCGTCGTGAATGGGGCTGAAGGGCGCCAGCAGCCGCTTGCCACTTCGTTTTGTGTATACTCTATACTAGATATGCATGAGTATAGTATAAGTGTGCATGTGTATGTGTGTGTGCGAGTGTGCGGGTGTCTATACATATATATCGCGCATCAAATATGCACGAATCAAACCAAAACACCCTAACACACACACACAAACACACTTAAAAAGCTGCAGCGAAAGCAGTTGGCGTGTATAGGTATGTGTGTGCGTGTATAGGTGTTAAAAGAAAAGCCAACCCAGATGCCACCCACACTATATATAGTCTATCGCCTGCTGGCTGCTTGAGTTCGAGTTAGTTGCAGTCTCAGCTTAACACGCTTTTTATAGCCTACTTTTCAGGGCAGCGCTGAAATTGTAATAAAGTTTTTCCAAGCACGTCACAGCGCGTCTTTATGTGTGTGCGCGTGCTCGGCTGTGTGTGTGCGTGTGTCAGTGTGTGCAGTAATTGGTCTATTTTAAGGCATTGGCAATTAAATTGACTTTTTGTTTGTCTATTCCGGTAGCATATTTAGTTTTATTTGGGCGTGTTCGACGCAGCTCCAACCATACCTCCATTCGCTTTGACTTGTTGTGTTGAGTTCTATTTTTGGCTCTGCTTTTATTTTTGAACAGCAACTGGCACGCAATGTCCGTCTCATTAGCATTAGCTCTTTTAGCATAATGAGTGCCCATGTCCACGCCCATTTACGTTCAATTAATCAATTGCATTTCTCCTACTCTCTTTCTCTCTGCCAGGTCTTCGCCGGCGGCCTATACAGCCCTCGGCTATGGAGCCGCAGCGTTATGAGCAGCTCATGGAGGATCATGCCAGACGCCGACTGCAGCAGCAGTTCGAGCAGCAGCTGGAGCTGATTAATCAGCAACTGTTGCGTCAGCGGCAATTGCTTAAGAACGAACAGTATCGTCGGCAGCAGGAGGAGGCCAAGGTGTTGGCTGAGATGAAGAACGATTACGACAGCAACAACAACAACTTGAATAATCAATATGACCAATACGACAACGTGGAAGGGGATGCGGCATATGGCAGTCCGCTGGATACGGTGCCAGATGTGATGCGACCGCCCATGCCCAATTTCGATAGCCTGGATAATAACTACAATCGGATTATTCCAAGTCAGTCGCGTGGCCGCATCGCCTTTGCCGTGGGTCCCAATGATGCGCGCTTCTTTGATACGGCCAACGATTTGTCGGGTGAGCTCGACTCGCGTGCCCTGGACGACTATGAGGAGTATGCACCGGCACCGGACGCCGGCTCCGAGGTAGTGACCGCCAAAAGCAAGCCCCAATCACCTGTGCAGTCCTCGCCGAAGCAGGAGCCACCCAAGCTCCTGGACACGGCCATCGCCAACTTCCATCGCATTAAGCCGCAGTCGGCAGCTGCCGCCGCAGTGGCTGGCGTCAATCTGCCCCAGACCAAGGAGTCACCCAATGAGATAAACGCACTGATTGATAAGCTGCAAAAGCAAAGCAAGTCCCCGCAGTCGGCCTACGCAGTCAACACAGGTGATGCCAATGAGCAGCTCGTCCTGCGTCAGCATCTGGGCATGAATAGTGAGATGGGCGTCTACCTTGTGGCCCTCATTGCGGGTGTCAGTGCGGCGGTAACTGTCGGACTTCTGGCACTGGGCGTTACTTGGTAAGTTTTATATAAAAACGGGAATGTTAATTGAAAGCTTTACTAAGTTAGTTGATGCTTGAAGAGGTTGGGCGCGAAGCGGTAACTGTGCAATTATTTCTCATTGAAAACAACAGAAAATAGTAAAATGAGAGAAAGAGAAACAAGTTTTCTTAATTAAAATTTATTATTTGTTAACCTAATCTTAATCCTTTCTCTTACACACTAACTTGCTAATCATAGTCAACGCCGTTTATATCACTTATTCCCCTAACTGATTACACATGAAACAAAAGTGATATATTTAATATAAAAAGCAACCCATAATCAGGATAAAAATATTCTTCAAATATTACGCATACGACGCTTAAAAATAAACCTGCTGTTTGATTATGACTGACAAGGTAGTCTAAATATAATTTTCTTGGGCATTACGCATACGCACTGTCGCACGCAGAAGGGGTCCATACGTTTGAGAGGGACACATAACTTGCTTAAGCATATGTTTCTAGAATTTTACAAGTCGTGGGAAAAAAAACTCGTTTATTTGTATTACTTAAGTCATTTTCGTTTGCATAAGAATTATTACCGGTTGAATGCAATATAATATAAACCTGTTTTTTCAAAGCTATTTAGCTAATAGCCTTTATTTCGACTTCATTGACGATAATCACTGCAGCTTCATTGCTTTTTAAAAATAATATTAGCTATTTTAATTGGATATTTTCTTTGGATAACTAATCCATCTGTTAACCTTTCTCGCCCTTAACAGGTTCCATAATCGCAGCAAAGCCGCTGCAGACGTCGATTATCCAGCCTATGGTGTAACCGGACCCAACAAGGATGTCTCACCGTCGTGCGATCGCAAGCTGGCGCAGAGCGCTCAAATGTATCACTATCAGCACCAGAAGCAACAGATCATAGCCATGGAGAATTGTCAGGCGACCGACGGCAGCTGCGGCCTGTCCGACGTGGAGAGCGACGACGACAACGAGGAGGGCGACTATACCGTCTATGAATGTCCCGGCCTGGCGCCAACTGGCGAAATGGAGGTCAAGAATCCGCTCTTCCTGGACGAGACGCCGGCCACACCAGTTGCAAGTGTCAATGCTAATGCTAACACCAATGCTAGCAACACAGCTCCCAACAACAACAACATTACGCAAGCCACGCCCCAACAGCCAGCCACACAGAAGAAGGGAACGGTTAAGCCGAATATGAATCTGTTGAATGCTGCGGCCAATGCAGCTGCCGCTGCTGCTGCCAAAGCCTCTGCCAGCGACGAGAAGAAGGAGAAGCGCAAGAGCAAGAAGTAAATTGTGTGCGAAAGGGACAAGAAACAGTCCGCTTCCCTCTGACTATTTATAACTCCCACTCTCTATCTCTCTTGGCCTGGCTTGGTTAAGTAGAACTGATCCATTTTGTCAGCCAACAGTTACACATGAGACACACCCACACACACACACATATATACACAGGTACGCGTATGTACATAACACACACTCACACAAATACATACACAGATACGCGCGCGTTTGTATAGATTATGTATTCCTAAAGAAAGTCGCTGGAATTAAATTCCTCGAGTCAACAACTAGCTTGAACAGCACAAAGAAATCTCTCTCAACTTCCTTGCCCCCACTTTTGAGTGTAAGTCCTGAACTTATTATGTATATGCATTATGTATCGTTATCGTATCGTATCATAATCGTGTATTGCTATGGTGTAAGACATGCATATAATGTGAGCCCGCCCCCTGACCGCCGCCCCACTCCCTCTGTCCTTGATATGCCCCTTTTTTTTGCAATTGTTAACTGCTGTGTGCATCGAAGTCGAGTCGAGTCGAGTCGAGTTGAGTTCAGTTGAGTCGAACCGACCGAGTCGAGCTATTGCGCAGCATTACCTGCTGTGCGGCTGTCAATCAAAAGCAGAATATATTGCACAAATAATAACACATTCATAATGAAATGACGAGCCTTCCTCTCCCCACACCCCCGCTCCTTGTGCATCATATGCTACTGATTCAATTTAAATACAATCCAAACAATGTGTACTTATTTATATTGTATTGTATTTTAACATTTTATTGTACTTTATATCAACACACTAACAAGAATCAATTTTTGAGTAAAAACAAACTATTTTAAAGTCTGCGTATTGGCATTGGAACAAGAAAAAAACAAAAACAAAACACATATTAAATTAAAACGTAAATTATATATTATTATAATTATTATACGCATGCATATGAATGTATGTATGTAATACATATATACCTATTTGTGTAATTATTGTAACATACTTGTATACAAAAGCCTAACGAAATTAAATACTTATGGTATTTTCCCCCACTCCCCTTCCCCTATCCCCCAAAAAGGATAAACAAAATTGATTTACTAATACTTTTTATCGTACTACGCTTTGTGATCTTCAATTATCTGTGTCAATTTAGAAATACAATTCTGGTAACCAAAAACAAACACACATACATAAGCATATATGTATATGTGTACACTTATATATGTATGTATGTAATTATCATATATATATATATATATATATATATATATATATATTGGAACTATTTGAAAGGCGTTGAATTATTTACAAGTATAACTTAACAATAATTTCCAGCACATTCATGTAAAGTAAATGAAAAACGACTGATAACACACACAAAAAACACGCGTCTATTGTACAAACAAAAGAAAAGAAAGGAAAACTAACGAAATTTATTTATTAATTAGCGACAAATTAAACGAAACCAAAATTAAATGTAGCTGCTCCACGTTCCAAACAAAAAGAAGAAAAAAAGCGAAAAATAACAAATATTAGCGCAACATTTTTCTCAATTGCTGTAAATAAACATGAAACAAATATATATACATATATTTAAACATAAGACACGAACAACAACCACGTAAACATTTGCGGCCGTAACAATACATTAAAGACGCTAGACGAAAAACTCAAGAGTTTAAAAATAAAGTAACTTTCAAAGAAATACAATAATACAAATAAAAAAAATTTTTTAAATAAAAACTATGGAAGGAAACGAAAAAAAGGCGTCTTCAACTGCTAAGCAGCTTGAATTAAAGCATGAAAAAAACTATTTTATATTGTTTTCAACAATACTAACAATTGGAATTGTACTTTGCTACAATAAAAATAAAATAAAATAAAACACAAACACAAAAACCAACTGCAAACGAAATGTTGAGTTTGAAATATATATTTTATGGTGTATTCCGATGAAGGACAAGGCGGTAAACCAAATATATATGTATATATATATACATACAAATATATATATATATGATTGATATCTTGAATGAAATCCAAAAAATACATAACATATATTTATGCATAAAGAATATAATTTAATTTATTTATGTATTATATGATAACCATAATAACACAAATTATACAATATGCATACAAAATAAATTAAACTAACCAAAATTAATTGCTTTTTTCTTCAATATAATATATATAACACGTAGACTTATCTACATTCATTTATTTAATTCAAAATTTCATTCAAATTTCTGGCGCGCATTGCGTAGAGCTGCCACAGTTCGCATGTTAGGTGGTGCTGCCAACTTGCTTCAAACGGATTTGCAACACTAGCAAATTGGATATTCTAGTGGTTGCGCGGTGCTGGTCACACTGCGAGAACAGAAGCCAATCAGTAATTGCGACAATAATAATTCAATGTGCGTACGCCGCGCGCGTTTTTATTTCACATTAATTAATTAAATACTATTTCAAGTCTTGCGGACAACGAAAACGTGCGTGTAATCGGTTCTGCCGTCACTTCTTATTTTCATATTTTGCTGTGCGTGTAGAGCGAGGGTGAAACATAGTTTAAACATAGCTACAGCTGCAGTGCCTGTCAATTATGCTTGGCTTCCCTAATACAGATGCTGCTGGTGTTGTCGCTGCTGCTGCTGCCGTCGTCGTTGCTGTTGTTTTTTAGGTAAGTTTTATTTTTCTTTTATTTTTGGGGCGTCTGCAGACGCAAACTATAAATACTTAAGTGTCGTGATCTGCAGTGTGCACTGTCTTCTGGCCCACAACTTTGTCGCATTTGCTATCAAGTGCAAATATTTTTCGACTTGCTGGTGTTTTTTTTGTTTGATGTATTTGGGCGTACTTGCCGATTACGAAACTGAGCAGGCAACTAGTGTGAGAGTGAGAGGGAGAGGAAGGCATTTTGCATACGATGTGCTAGGCATTAACGACGGTCTAACGAAACTTGCGTGTGCCCCCGGCCTGGTGGTAGGGGTATTCTTATTCAGTGCTATCGATTTAGTTAGGGGTGTGCTCGTTGTTGTTGCGGCTCCGTGGCTAATTTGCGTTATATTGCCGGTAAATGGGTAGAACGTGATTCATCGTTTAGCCAAATCAATAAAATAAAAAAAAAGAACATTTAACGTCGCTTCCTTGGTGATAAACTTGAGTATTAGATCATATGATAAGCAAATGTTATCAGACACCCACGAAGTGTAGACACCAAATATGCATGTATACACACAAACATACACACACACACTGCAGCGCCTAGCAACGCCCCTGGGCATGAAATTTGAGTTTCACTTTGTGGATATATTTTCCAGCTGTTGTTTTGCTTGTTACTTGTTAAACAGGATGTGAAGACCAGCGCTGAGGCTGAGGCTGTGGCTGAGCAGGCAGGCAAGCCAGGTTGCCAGATGTTTTTGCCTGCCATTTCAAGGCTCCCATGCGTAGCATTGTTATTGCACAGCTCTTTCAGCACTTGCTCGTATCCTCTATCTCTGTCACTCCCTCGCTCACTCTCGCATTGTTTCCCTCCTGTGTGCAGGCACTTAAGAAGTACGCACTTATGTACATGTATATGTATGTATATTGGTTACGATTCTAGTTTTCTAGGCTTGACCCACTTTACAGCGCGCGGATCACAGAAAGAACAGAAAACAAGTGAGAACAATACAATCGGCTGTAGCCGACAGCAAAATACTTTGTAAAGAAAGATAGAAAGAAAGAGATAGAAAGGGAGAGAGAGAGAGAGAGAGATAAGAAAATTCTTCCTGAATAAGCTGCTGGAGAGATAAGCCTCAAATTGACTTTGAAACCGCAGAAAAATGATTGTAGATTTTAGTATAATTTTTTAGCACAATCTTAGATGATCGCTGTTGCTAATCTGTCTGATAAGCTTTTTATTAGCTGAGTCATTTTTATGTAGGTCAATAGACAGCGTACCTATATACCCACATTTTCACTTTGTATACAGCGTATTCTACAAAACGCAGCGCGCCCTCAGCAGAAAGCAAAACCCCAGAGCCAAGCTCATTATTCTATATCGCTTGGCCTTCCTTCGTCTCGGTTCAACTTGGGTTTTGTTTTGTTTCCAGTTGCAGTTTTTATTGTAGTTTCTCTCGTCTATGATTACAAGTGCTTATTACCCACGCTTGCATATATGTTTATATTTATATATATATATTATGTACACACATATATACTGATACTGATGCTTACTTAGTCTATATAAATACTTAAATGCACATATGCTAAGCTGCACTTGAGTTGGATTTGTAATTGCAATCGCATGCGTTTAGCTGCTGATAAGCGAGCAAAAAGGGCCAGTTTAGCTGTTTTTAATGAAATGCTGAATGAAAAGCAGAAGCATTACGTTTTGGCACGTCAATGAACGCAGTTGTTTTGCAGTACAGTGTGTATTGATGAATAATGAATGAAGTAATGAATTTGCAAAGACTAAATTTGACTGACATAGAGCTGGAATAGTTTTTTGTTAAGTAGATGATTTGATAGTAAAATTTAAAAAAAAATTAAAAGACAGGCTGAGTAAAAATCACAGGGCTAAGATCATTCATTAACTTTAACATATTGTCTAGGTTTCATATTATTGCTTAAAGTTCAATAGTATAATATAAATTATATGCTGAAAATATATGCTGAGCCTAGGAACAGAAAATCAGGTTAATAAACCGAATTTCAAGGCAGTTTCTTTTCCTTATCCAACAAGTAATAATTAAACGTAAACTTAATACAAACAGCTATTAAAATGACATTCTAAGATTAAGTAAATATGTTTGCCCATGTAAAGACGAATTTTGTCTTGCCTTGCCAGGGGTCTTGTACGCGTGTTACTTATAGCCAAAGTTTACTGTATGTGTGTGTATGCACTTTTCACAATCACAATCACAATCGCATTGCCAGCTTTCGAAGGTTAATTCATGCACTGACACCTATACATATTTATGTGTATATATTAAGTGTGTATATATATATATAAATACATTTATAACGGAGCATTTCAAAATCTGTGTCGCGGTTATTGAACTTGACGATGGCATCGCTGTCATCTCAGGCGACATCAACTGACCTTGCCCGCGTCAAAATCCAGCAACCCAAATAAGAAAAGACAGAACTTAATGTTGTAAAACCGACGACATAATGACATAGAACTGTGGAATGATCTAGCAGAGGGTCAGTCAGGGGTCCCCAGCCAAGTGCGAGCCCAGCGAAAGTTGAGAGGCGCATTCCACACTGGCCCCAGCATTTATCGAAGGCAATTAAAGACGCCAACACACATTCCACTGATAGGGGGGACAACTACATATACAGATACTCTACATTCGCTGGGTGTAAATTAAATTTTATATATATCGGAAAACAGTTCATAAATTAAGTATATATATATATGTAAACTTCAATAATAAATGCAGCTGACTGTATGATCTGAGCAGCTGCGCATTACAGTGTATTTAATGTGCGGCATTCCTATTGAAGCTTTTCTTTTTTTTTTTTTGTATTTTATTTAAATACAGCTGCAGGCTGATAAACAAGCTATAGTCAACTTTGATTTCCGCGAACTTTGCAGCTGTTTTGTTTGTTTTCCTCCAAGAAATTTATGTAAATACAATAAACATATTTATTGGACTACACATATAACTCTATGTATGCGAGTGTGTGTGTGTGTATAGGGTGTGTGTGCATGTGTGTGCGGAGGGTGGCTGGTCTAGCTGGTGGTGGGCGGTGGCCATAAACAAAAAGCGCCCAACAGTAGCAACGCCCCCACACATTCATGTCCCTGACCACAATATCATTTGTTATTATACAAATTATAATGCATACATGTATATATGTGTGTACGTGCAAATATA